TTTCTTGTACATGTATGTACCTATGTACACTGTTTAAAACCTCTGGTGCACATTCTACACCAGAAAAAGTATGTTGCAATATTTTTTTTTATTTTTATGGAACTTCCACTTATGCTCAAAATATTCCAGTTATTCCTATCTTATTAATTAAGGAGTACAACTAGTTCTTGGGCCAGATCACACTGGCTTGCAAGAGGCAATTGTTAAAATTCCTGAAATTTTGTGAATCGGTTGAATGTGAAACTGAGTCCCGATGACTGGCTTGCCAATGAGCTTTTGGGTTAGCAGTGCAGCGATGGCAATGGAGTTGCCAGCGTTGAGTTTTAAACATTTACCAGCATATCAACGGTTGTAATATTCTCAAGCCTCTTCCTTTTTAGCTGGTGATTTGCAAAAAAATAGCATATGCCTACATAGATTTGTTTTTTCCTCAGATCAAATAAACTTGATATGGTTGTTGACTAGCCTAAAAATGTTGTATCTGGAATTGACTATTTAAATATATTTAAGTTCTGTCCTGTATTAGAGTAAGGTTTATGATATAATAATAAAAAACTAAAAGATAAATAATTAACTGGTAATGGAAAAAAAATGCAGATGTATTAATAGGATATCTGTCTTGTTTTAGTAGCTTAGAACTTCTAAGAACTGACTTCTTAGACTAATTCTAACATTCCTTTGGAATGGGCTGTACAGATGGACACGTTCCATAGATTCAAGTTAAAGAAAGTCACAAGGGTGCATTGACTTTCCTGCTTCCTTAATAAACAGACTAAGATATAATGTATGAATTCATGATTGGAAATTTTGAATCTTTTGTTTGCAAAAAAACTACCAACAAATTTAATATTTTGAAATGTGGTGAGGATATTATGGCATTAGTGCTACACATTATCAATTTTAAATATATTATTTACGTGAAATATTTGATTCCAACTTTAAACGTTCATCAAAATACTAAAAAGTAAAACATTAAAACAGAACATAATTCAAAGATGGTAATATCATGAGTAAAATATGGGATGAGCAATATTAGGACTAACTTCCAAAATTTAGTATGATCAGTTCCAAATTTAAGACATGCAAACACAACTCTGGTACTATATGAATCAAAAAATAGATTGTACTTTCCCAATACACATGGTTTATTTTATTATTATACTTTTCTATTATCTATGTTATCTATGATCCTGTGATCACCACAGTCACATATAACTTGGTCCTTGATCATAGAAGTTCCAATATTAAATTAATCTTCCCTAATCATTTGTATTCTAGAATAGATTGATTCTATCAGAGTTTTCTAGATAATTATTCATGTAAAAACAGTACTTTATAATGTTTCTGCTATATACCATACCACATCTCAGAAATAATTATGCTGGAAACCAGAGCACAGAAATTATTCAATAATTCTATTAAAATTTTTTAAAAATACTTGTAACGTGAATTTTTTAAAAATAGAATAGATCTTAAGCACTTTAAAAATTTGTTGTCTATGTATTTAGAATGTTAGTTTAAACATTCATATTTTTCTTTTGTAGAAATTGAACTGTTTCCCAAATTGGCTGAAACAGAAGATTATGAGGTATTGTTATTACATTATCTTGTAAGCTATTATGCTACTGCTATTAGAAAATAAAAATGTTGAGTTTAATAGAATAGTCAGTGTGAATATTTGGACATTTGAAGTAAAATATTTAGCTATCGCAAAGTCAGTCTGAAGCATTCTAAATAACATGGCAAGTTACATTAAAGCATGAAAAATGATTACAGGGCTTCAATTCTATAACATGTGTCTAAAAGTAGATCCATTGAAATAACAGTACATATATCTCAGTAGACACTTGTAGGACATGACTATTGATTGGCTATATAAATCAGACCGACTTATATCAATGAACAGATGCTAAAGCATCTTCTCAAAAATATACATTATACAAAATGCAGAAAACAGCCATACCCCAAAATAGGTTTTGCCATGTGTTCTTTAAAATAAGTTTCCCAATGCTGTTCTTCAAAAGAGAACGGAAATAATTATACATAGAGCTTATTATTGGATGGGAATAAAATGTAATTCATGACATCAAATGAAATTATTTTCTGGTTCATTACCCTGTGTATTTCTTAATATAATGATTACATATATCATTGAAAACATTATGTATGTTTGCAAAATTCTGGAATATTGCTAATTTCAAAAACAACTTGGATGTCTTTTTCCAAAGGATAATCCAGAGAGAGGCCACAGTACTCTATTACAAGGGTCCCCAACCCTCAGGCTGCAGCCCATTATAAGGCCTTGGTCAATTCAAGACTGGGCTGCAGAAATAGCAGGTGAGCACCCACACAGCTGCATTTGTGCGAGCGGCAGGCACATATGCCCACCACTTGTACAAATGGAGTCGTGTACATGTGTGCACATCCCTGCCAGTTGCATGTAACCATTCCCTTTTCCTTCCCCTTGCCAGTCTGCAAAGCCAGGGGATCCCTGCTCTGCTACTATAAGCTACAGAAATACAGTTCTTTGTAATAGCTTAGTTCATTTATTCAGGCATTATTTAAGAGGACATTAACTATATTTTATACATGGTGGTTGCCTATTTTTAAAGGAGGAAGATGAAATGGAAGATGAAAGGACAGAGTTGGATGAAGACGCTACTGTAATTGCCAGTAGACATAGTGCAACAAACCAAATACAAAAAAGCAAGTTCCAGTTTACCACATCTAGCTACAGTCAGGAAAGAATAGAAACAAAATTCAATGAAGATGGAACACAGAGATATCTTACAGAAGAAAAAGACCTGCACGGAAAATATGATCGTTCCAAAACAATTTTTCATCAAACTTCTCCACTTATCACTGAAGGACTAAAGGAGGAAAATAACCCCATGGAATTTCAAGCAGCAACGGCAATTGTTCCTCCCGTAAGCAGCTCCACCAAAGGTAATGAGGAAAAGTATGCACACACCTTTTCCGGCAATGAAACAACCAGAGAATCTGCTGCTGATAGTAGTGAAGATGTTATAGAGGTATTTGCTTTTAAGCCTGGCCCAGAAACTGATGACTCTTGGGGTTCCATTCCTATCACCTCTGCTACCCAGTTAGTTACTATGGAGTATCTCAGGAAAATACTTTTAGTTCTGGAAGTCCAGACACAACCACACAGGATGATCTTTCTCAAAACAATGTCAAAATTCTATCAGAAGACATGTTACCCTCAAAAGCAGAAGAATCTGCCCCCAAAATACCTGCAATCAATGAAAACGAGTGGTATTCTAATAGCACAGATAGTACTTCTGTTGCATTGGATAGCCAGGATCTTTCTCATATTAATCCCCCTATTCCTACAACAGCACTTTATCCTAATGATCCCGTGGGGCCACAAGATACTTCAATTGCAGTCACAGTATTGCTACATTCTTCTACCTTTGCTCTCTCCTCTTCTTAGTTATCATCTTACTCTGTCTCGTCAAATTCTGAAGAACATGGCTCTGCTTCTTCTGGAAGTGAGGTACTCTCTCAGACAACTCAAGCAGTTTACAATGGTGAGATACCACTTCAACCTTCCTACAGTAGTGAAGTGTTTCCTCTAGTCACCCCTTTATTGTGTGACACTCAGTTGCTCAACACTTCCCCTGAAGCATCAAGTAGTGATGTGACCTTGCATGCTACACCTGTATTTCCCAGTGTTGATGTGTCATTTGAATCCACCTTGTCTTCCTATGACGATGTACCTTTGCTTCCATTTTCCTCTGCTTCCTCCAGTAGTAAAATGTTTCACCATTTATATATGGTTTCTCAAACATTTCCACAAGCTGCTTCAGCTATTGAAAATGATGAAGGGTCCCTGCATGTTTCTTTGACATTGGAGGAGGGTGGCACATTAACCCAATCATGCCTCACTCAGTTTTCTGATGTGACCTCATATCAGATGGTCCATGCTACTTCAGAGACTTTGAGATTTGGCCATGATAGAACTCACTTGTTATCTCAAGTGGAACCACCCAGCAATGATTTCAGTGGGCATGCAGTGTCTACAATGTCTGAATCTATTTATGCTTTATCAGGTTATGTGGGGTCTCCTCAAACTATTGCTGCTTCTTATTACACATCTGAATTTGTGCATGAGTCTGTTGGCACATTTCATCAGGGTCCCTTGTTTAGCAGCTATAGCAATATGCCGGTGCCTAAGCCTTCTCCTGCAGTCTCGCAAGCTGATACTTCTCTGCGGCCTCCATGTTTTCTTTCTAGTGAAATGGATCGCTCTGAAACTCGTTCTGCTAGTGAGTCCCTTTTGCCTGACACAGATATTTGGTCGATACTGAAAGCTTCTTTGCATGTTCCTTCCAGTGAAGTAATGTGCAGCACACCTGTATTCCCAGGTGAGGTTGAGATGACTCCCCAAAATAGTGTAATGCATGGATATGACAAAGGACTGCAAATTTCTGCTTTCAGTGAAAATACTGAAAATGAAATGACTGAACCTCCTACATCCATTTCTAATTATGAGATTCCTAAGCAGGATACATGTGCTCAAGAAAGCCTCGTTACTGTCTCTAGTGCAAAGGGAATCCGGCCAGCTTTTCCTGTTACTAAGGTGTTTGATTATTATGTTAGTAAGCGCTTGGAAAATGTTCCTATTCAATCTTTGCATGTTACAACTCTGGCCTTTGATGACGCTTTGCTTAAGCCTATGCTTAGTGCAAGCTCACAGCAAGCTTCCTCTACCCCTGCTTCTAGCAAAAAACTGCCTTCTCCCAGCCAGCAGTACTTTTACTGGGCTTCAGCTACCCTAAATAATATTTCATTGCTGCAAATTTCCTTTCAATCCTTCAATAATGATACAGTTCGTAAAACACCTGTGCCTGGGGATCCAGTACTGGTTGAAAATGTTACAAATGGTCATAGTAGTAGTTCTGTTTTTAACCACATATTGCCTCAAATGGCAACAAATGCAGCCGAAAATAAAAAA